ACTTTCTTTGACATCTTTGTATTAATAGAGGATCTATTTAAAAAAATCCGAATTAATAATAACCTACAATATAGTAAATAAAAAACCACGATTAGACATTTTCGCATATAACCATGAGACTATATTTTGGCCCCCCCAAAAAAGTTTATATCTCCGAACGTATAAATAATATAATTGTGTTTTTGACCTATAAAAAGCGTTTTAAAAAAAGAAGATAGGCGATCGTTCGCAGTAGTATACAATCGGTGCAAGCGGAGGTCGACGTAGTAAAAATAACGTGCTGTAAAAAAAAAAAACACGATCGAATTGATATATTATATATATTTTTTTTTTTACAGAGGAGTTTATTATGATATTTTTATTGTAAGCGACATGCTTTTTTTATTTTTTATTATTATTAATAATGTCCAAGATAAAAACTTTCTGCGCACAATAGCCGCAGACGGTTGTTATATATTATAATATTATAAGTTGTTTGGGCCAACGCAAATTGTTCTCAAATCTTCTCTTTAAGACAACATTGCACAGTTTGCCGAGTTAATTCCTTGACAGCAAAACCATAGTTATAATGAATTAATAATAATAATAATAATAAGGGAGGTCCATTGTGTACATACCGAAGAGTTTGCATAAATAACAAGGCGGTGGCGATACTTTTAATTTATACACATATATTTTTTTGGTGATAAAATATCTTCCATATTGTACACACAATTTTAATATTTGTGTACAAAAATGTATAAGTGTGCCATCCAAAATTCAACAATGTTTAATCAATATTGTAATAATATTATTCGTTATAATGTAAGCATTTTGAACTTATTTCATCTTGTACCAAAAACCATCGTTATATCGACTATATTTCCATCGAATCAATGGAAAAATCGGTAAATTAAACATTTTATGAACTTTTTCACTGTGGCTGATGATATAGTAATATGTTTAGTCTATAATAAGGTCTTCTTAAAACAGAAAAAGGAAATTAAATTAAAGAACCAAACAATTTGACGCTCCATAAATGTTGAAGTCCTAGGTAGTTGCCTACTCTGCCTGTTTAGGTATATCCCTCAGCGGGTATATTGACATTTCCGTACATTCACTGGGAAAAAATAAAACTACACAATAATAATATATATATATATTATCACGTGAACTACAATAATATTATGATAATATAATCAGCGTTTAAACACATACGTCATCATTCATAGTACACTGTTAGGATGTTATCTGTAGTTAGGTATACTAAAAACTTGTTCTATATTTCCTATATAATCATATTGTATACAATGCGTAAGTTTGAAAACAATATACAATCCGACGAAAGTTCAACTGAATTAATTTCGCGTGCTCTTTCATATTACGGTTCAAGATAACTCACCTATCAGGAATGAATTTAATAATACGATGGGCGACTTTAAAGAATTGCCTAAAGTGTTTTCATCAAAATTTAAAAAATAATTAAATAAAACAAAATTAAAGTTTATTATCTAACCATCGAAAACGTGTTCTTCTTCTCGTTAGCCTACACGCATCACGACTCTTCGAAAGTTTTTACTATACAAAAACTAGTTTTTACAATTTTTTTTTTTTTAAATGGGTTTTTAATTGTCTGTTAATATATATATATGTGGTTTAACCATGTCAATTTTCATTTATAATTACAAAATGTGCAAACGTTTCAAATATAGTACTTGTATAAAATATTTTGTCACCTTGTATATAAGGCTCATAGTCATCTAAATTGATTGAAAATCTTAATTTGTATATAGTTGACAAGATATTTTTAAAATTCTTCAAGTGGTTACTTTATGGTGGTAATTATTTTTTGATAACGGCCACTATGAGTTTATATTTAATACCTACCCATGTTTAAAAATGATAATAATATAACATTGTTACGAATAATATTTATTAAATTTCATTGTCAACTAAATACACAATCGTAACTACGTATTAGTATAACTATAAGGTGTTTTAAAATCACAAATCTAAAATGAAAATAAGACAGATTAGGCACCTAAACCCATGCACAATTTATTGCAGTAAACAAAATACAATTATAGAATTATTTCAAAATTATTTTTATCGCTATAATTTCAATGTGTATAAAAACAAAATTATATAATTTATGAGCAAATAAATCAAACATTATTAACAATGACAATATAATCTGATTTACGGCGGTACTGAATTTTCACGAGTGATTGCACGATGCCACGAACCTAATCAGAGTTGTAAATTTGAATTGAAAATCCGAAAAAAACTTATGGAAGAAACTGTTCAGAACGTCCAGAAAAATGTCTTATACTAGTTATATCAGTAAACTGCTTGTCTATTATTGTATGTACAGTATATTAAAAAGTAATAGAGCGAAGCATTCAACTCTTCTCTAAAAAGTGTTAAAAAAAATCATAAAAATCAATTTTTGGAAAAATTATGGGGAATTTGGGAAATTAGTTCAAAAAAGTATACCATAAGGTAAAAAGTTCGCATTTTGTATTCTGGGTAAAGCGAGGAATGTATTGGTTTTTCAACGATAATCATTTTTTGTTTTTATACTATTTACAAAAACCCCAAAAGAAATATTTTTCCGATTTTCAAGTGTAGCATTTTTTTTGAAAAGAAATTTTATTTCATTGGCGTAATGAGTGCAATTTTTTGAATTTTAAACTGTTTTAAAAAAAATTGGGGAAAACGTAGAAAAAATAATGCTTTTATAATTTTAATTATTATTTTTTTTTTTGTTGTAATTCGGTTTAAAATGTTTAGAAATTGAAATTTGAAAAAAAATCTTATATTTGCCTTTTATAGACTTGGTAAAGTTTTTAAAACATTTGATTTGTTTCTGAGCTATTTATAGACATTTTTTTTTGCGAGTTTTTTACGTAGTTTTTATTTGATAGGTCCTCTGAGAATAAAATTGTTAGACTAAACAGAAATAGTTGAAAATTCAACGAGAGATTCATTACCTAAAAGTTATACTAGGTGTTCAACAAGAAAAAGTTGAGTTTAATGTAGTTTTTTTTTTTTTTATAAAAATTTTTATATTAAATTATGACAAAAATCGTAAATATTACGGCCTTTAAAACATGTATAACTGAACTCCACTGAGAATCGTTTTTTATTTGCAACGCATTATCGTTGCATACAGATATACATTAAATTGATCTTTATATCCTATCGTTTCAATTTCTCACCTACAATAATAGCTCAATGACGCGAACAAAAGTTTTCCGTGAGAAAAAAATTAATCTCTAATCATGCTTAATACTTGAATGTTTTATTTTAATCGAGTCACGTGATTAACACAATGAGGTAAAACGAAAGTGTTAACGAAAAGAAAAATGAATTTATACAATTATTCAATGTAATTTCTACGAGGCGTAGGTATATGCCTACTTGTATTGAATGATATTTCCGCAAATACGCGACGCATTTTCGAATTCCACCAAGACCTCTAGAAAAACTTACAAGTCTGCAGTGATTCACGAAAGTTCTATACTGGCCGTCGGACATAGACATAATAGAAAAGAACGCAACGGTAAAAACAAATTTAATTTTACAGTGGACTGTTGGCGAAACGCACGGGATTTACATAGGCATGGTGTTTTTGTATACTTTGTAAAATGTACAGTTAATTTTTCAAGGAACCATTAAGGCGGGCCACATTTTCAAGTATCAATTTCAATAGACACGGGACGCTTGGCGCTCGTACTTGAATAGTAACGGACTTTCAAAACAAATTGCTGTTTCCCTTGGGTGAAAAAAACAACATTGAATGTTTGTGGTTGTCACCGGTCACCGATTCATGTTCATAATAATAATGCCCGTTGGCCAATACAACCCGACCTTGGAAAAAACAATCGAAGTTAAATATTTTATTTTTCTATAACAATCTTTTTTTTTTTTTTTTGATCATTCGGAGAGGAACAAACCACAGTTAATATAATTAAATCCGTTGTTGGTTGTTTCGGGTATAGGCGTATAAAAAAATATAATTATACTACCGAAAACAAAAATACATAATTATTGTTACAATAACTGTTACTGTATATTTATGCCGATATTTCCGGTGCATGAAAAAAATATTGTTTTGATTTTTTCACAGTGGATTTCATTTGGGTTTTTTTTTAATATTACGATAGACAATAATTATTTCTAATGAGAAAATGCTCGTCCGAAAATGCGCGCCAATATTATTCACAATTTTAAAGCGCGTAATTTTCACGCTTCGAAATCGCAGTAAATCCAATCTAAAAACAAAATACAGAAATATTCTATTACATATGTGTTCGCGTAGTCGTCGACGTGAACAAAATGTGTTTTCACACAAGAATTATTCTCGAAATATGTTTTTGATATTATGGCGTCACGTCCGTGTCATTTAACGTTAAAATCCTCTCGGTTGTTCCTTATTTCAAGATAGCCTATAAAAAAAAAAACACATTACAATAATAACAACCAAAAAAATATGTTTACTGCAGTGTAATAATTATTATAGGTACCGTATAATCGGATCTCCCATGAGTATACATTCGTTTATCTGATTCGCACGCGGATGTATATAATAACACAGAAACAGTAATTATAATATCAATGCTGTGATTTTTTAGATCTTGAATACATTTTTTCAATCAAACTTCGGATTAATGAAAAATATGGTGCATTTCGTTCATACCATATGCCGCACTGATAAATATGATGTTGATTATTCGACAGATAGTACGTTGTTTTAACAATTTTTTGATTTTCAACAGCGATATCGTTCTCTTCTTCCATGATTGGGATTATTATATATTTCATTAAAACGAACGTCGGCGTACAAAAATTTACGTTTTTTAAACAGAACCACGTTTTGGGAAAGAATTTGAAATGTACGATTATTGTAATATTATTGGCGTTGTTACTGACCGGAAACTTTCGCTCGTGGCGTCACGGTGTTCTAGAACGTCATGGGCAGAATAATGAAACGATTATATTATTATTATAATATCGAAGGTGTTTTCTCGGATTATATTGTCTTTGGCCCGTCAGTCGTGTCAGTCGAGTCGTTCGCGCGGAAAGATTAATACGCTAAAAGCTGCAGCAACAGCAGCCGACGAGTCCTCGAGAGACAGCTATAGAATAATATTCGTATAAAAACGAAAAAAGTTTATATATTCTAAAAAAAAAAAATTCCGTCTCAATAAAATAGTGTTTTATAATCGGAACGAGATTATAAAAAAAAACATTAAAAATAACGGGGCAATTATAGGCAAACAAACGGCTCGTTACACCCATTGTTGTGTTTCATCGAGATAAATGTGAAATAAGTTATCTCAAATAATAATCAAATCATTTAGACGAAAATTTCGTTTTCGGGATTTTAATGATAAATGCCGACCTAGTTCTAAAAACAAGTATGTAATTTTCACCATTATAATTGGGGAAAAATCATCCCGATTCTCTCTTTTTTGGGACTCAGTTTTGGCATAATTTTATAACATTGAACTTAGATAATTATCATTTTTTCTCTAGCAAGTTAAATAAAAACGTGAACAAATTTTTATCTAGATAATGGTATTCTAACATATAAATAAATTTCAAATATAATAAAAAAAATACATTTATAAATACATACATAAATACATTTTTTAAATACAACACAACAGCTTAAATGTCGGTCGAGTGATCCTCTGACGTTTTCAAGAACACAAAACGAAATTCAAAATTATAATCTTGAAAAAAAAAGTAACAATAAAATCAAGTATAGGAGAAAATTACAAATTTAAATTTGGTAGGAATAGTTTAAATTACTGTTAATTTATTATAAACCAAATATCTGAAATTCAACAATGGCCCTGTAATTGTATTAGTTCAATGACGCGCCTGGGTGGCGTTTGCTGTTTTAAAATCAAAAGTTAATATTTATTTATAAAATACGTTCAAGAACAAATGAAAAAAACCCAATTCAAATTTACGAAAATGGAGTTTATGTTTAGAGGATGAGATCATGACGTTGAGCGGATAAGACGAGGAATGTCAATAAGCAGTGACATAATAAGCGAGCTTAAGAGTTTCAAATATATGGGGTCGTATGTACAAAATAATAGTAGCTTTGAAGGGGATGTGAAGCAAACGATTAAATGTAATTAGATCAAATGGAGGAAAACAGCGGTTTCTATTTGAAATTTTTGTATGTATCTACAATATCCAATTATTCTCTGAATATTAAAATAATTTCAATTGGACTTAAACATAAATTCTACAAGAGTATGATGAGACTGATTATGTTGTACAGTTTGGAGTGTTGGAAATTTCGAACAGAGTTTGAGTGCAACGGAAATTAGAATACTTAAGCGGATGAGTGGATTGACAAGAAAGGATAAGAATTGAACGAGTACATAAGAGGTAGCATAATCATGGCTTTGATAGTAGGAAATATAGCGAAAATCGATTAAAATAGATTGGGCGTGCTTTGGGAAGAATGGAATAAGAACCATTAAGAGTTGCAATGAAAATAAACATAAGCAGAAGAAGAGAAAGACCGAAAATAGATGGTTGGATACAATTGTTAGTGATACGAGAACGACCGGTGTTATGCGAAGATGATGCGAGAAATCAGATCAAATAGAAGTTTAATACGAGAGTGGCCGACTCCAGATAGTTATGATGAAGGCGAAGGAGAAAAAGAAGAATGAGATGAGGAAATTTACTTAAAGAAAAATGGAGACGATGGACCACGGTAAAAGAACCATCCTGTATACAGATACGTGGGCGTATAAAATTCATTGACCAAAATAATTACCCCCGAGAGTTTGGATTTTATTTCGGGATTGGAATACATCTATATAACCTATAAAACATTGTCCATTTATACATTTTATTTACATAATATACACCTATACCAACTCTGCAGGCCCGAACCGTTTGTACTCATATTGTGATGTAGTCCTTATAATATAATCTACTTGCATAAAGTTCATAATATATTGTTATATTACTTTTTTTGCAAAACAACTATACGGTGAACAGTCGAAAAACATACGAAATAATTTCACTGTTTTAACAAATAACTGTACGTAGCTATAGGTGTAATAATATTATATATGCGACAAAAACTAAGTTTCGAGTAAAGAAATGTCTATTTCATATAATGTTCAAAAACGAGGATTTATCCAGCACAGAATTTCGGAAAGAAAGAGAAAAAAAAATGCTTAAGCTGCTACGCGATCGTGTTGCCGAGCTGTTTTCTTTTCCTCTTAAGTACTGTTCTCGGAAAAAAAGTTATACTGACGAGACGGATGAAAAAAAAAGTCCTTTAAGCACCACGTGTAATTTATAATGAAAATAAAATTGATTTTCATCTGGAATGTCTCACGTGTCACTGTCGCTAAGAGTTCTGCAGATATATTATAATATTATTTTTCAAAAGAAATATTTTTATATTTAAAAAAAAAAAAAATGAAAAAAACGGTACTGCAGTAGATAGACGTTAGCGTATTAATAAATATATTAAACCTATTCGTAATATTTTTCTTCGATATTTTACATGCTGAGTGTAGAGATTAAGCCAATAGATGCGTAATGTAAAATTTTTTCTTAAATAATTAGTTTTAGTTGGTATATGATGTCGTGTACTTTTTCTGTTTGTACTTTTCTACCAGATTTCTTGCTGCGATTAACAAATGTAGCATCTTTTTTTAAAAGAACTTTTCCTAGTTTTTGTATTGTAATTTTGTTTTTTGATGTAATGGAGTTGAAAAAAAAAACTCGTGAGTAACAAAGCGTTGTCACTATAGAGTCGAATATTCCCTTAGCTGACTTATATCTATTATAATATTTTTATTTTTTTTTATAATGATAAGAAATTGAAAAAAAAAAAATCAAAATACGTTCTTGAGATTTTTGCTAGTATTCAAACAGTGGGATCGGAAATTGAGAGTTTAAACCTGCTAAAGATTTTTATCACATCATAACCAACAACTATATTTATATTTAATCATTTTAACCAAATTACCATTGTATTCATTACTAACCTAACCTAACTTGATATTGCCTATGAACACATAATTCTGAGCATACAAACATTCAGTTAAAGGGTTTAAAGTTGATACCATTGAAAAGCGCATTCTCATACTTTCATCATGTGTTCATGTTCATAGACAATTTCATCCTCCAGGCCCGATTTTGGAGTCTGTAATTGTGTATTAAGTTAAAAAATAACCTTCTCCCATATAAACCATAGCTAAAGTTTTCATTGAAACTCAACCAAAATTTTATCGCTTCAATTTGCCTATCATTAAAAATATAATTCGCATGTTTGAAAAATAAAAAAATGATTTCCCGACTTACCAACTAGACAATATTTTTTTTTTTAAATATTCTACAGATGAAAATCAAAGCAAGAATTATGGTAGAAAAAACTGTACACGGAAACAAAATATTAAACCAAAAATAAATTTTAGCCGCACCGAAGCAACCAAACAATTTTGTTTATCTAATTTTCATTAATGTTTTTCGTTATTAAAATTCACAATATTCACAACTTTACATGAATATTAAATATTCCGAACAATTCTGAACAACTCAAACTGCGAGAAGAATTATTCATTTTTCGTAGTACTTATCGTTAACTTAATTATATCTTGCCAATACTCTTCGATAAGGGAAAATATTTCGGTTTATTTTTTGGTAAATCGCTTAAATCGCTCATGCGAACACTACAACTATTGAGACATTAAATTAATCTTTCGTTTCTCCATCGCGCGTTAATACTCGTATAATAATAACACTATGACAGAATAATCTTTGAAAAACGAGTTCCCCTACAGTGATTCTATTTTTCGTTCCGTAGTTACGCGTAGAAGTATTCGTTTTTTTCTCGAAATATCGTGCCAACAAGTTTGCACGGTATATATTTGCCGCCGTTTTCAAACGCATTACTCATAATCATAACTCGGAACTTTACGCACTCAAAAAAAAAAACTCGTAGTACATGCAGCGTATAAACGTATGCTAAAAATATCATAATGTGCATAGTTGTTTTTTAAAAAAATCTAATAATAATATTTGTCAAAAAAATTAAAATAATATTCTACACGATGATGCGATTCAATATTTTGCACTAAACGTCGAGAAAAGTATGTATTTTTTTAATAATGAAAAAAGAAATGATAGCAGTCTTATTAAAATTTATAGACGATGAATTTTGCATGAAAAATTCAATCAAGCATGTTTTACAGTTTTTTTTTTTTTAAAACCTAAATGCTATAAATATTTATACAGAATGTCCCACAGTATTTTACGGATTTTTCTAGAGATATTGATAGTCAATAAAAAAAAAAAATCAATCTGCTTTTCTTTTAATGGGATATCAATTCAGAGAACAATTAAATTTATATATATTAAAATATTTGTGTCCCTATAGTTACAAAAAAAAAATACACACATACAATTTTAATGTGCCATACATTCATATTCGATAGTTTTTAGTAACAGCTGTTTTAATTGATTCTAACATTTACAATACTTAACAAAATTAATAAAGTTATTTTCAATCACGTTATGTGTTATAGTATCATTTTTCACCGATTTTTTTTTGAAATTAAAACCACTGTTTCTACAGAACTATTAATTAGACATGAATCTATCTATGATGTACATTCACTATTGTAAAATCATTTTTGTTGGCCCCACGGGGTTTTTTGAATGCAAATGTTAATTTTTATAATAATTGCAATTGTGAATATATTAATGGCAGACGAAAAAAAAACTTGTGTATGACACGGTCTCTTACGGAAATTTAAAAAATTAGTGCATGGAAGGTGCTGAAAGGTACCTCTGAACTGACGCCTGGAAGGCCAGGAAAGGAAGTACCTGGTGCTGACTTAGGAACGCCGAGATATAACACCACTGTCCTAGTAGTAACTGAATGCAATTATACAGTCGTTAAGTAGAAGCTTGGAAAAGCAGTAACTAGAACTATAGTTCGGATATTTGACGGCGAACCATGTCAGATATACGAAATATACGATTTGATTTTGTAGGTCCAAAACTGTTTGGATATCAGATTTTTACATTTCTAAAAACTCTTAAATTGTTGATATTTTTGTGTATTATTTTGTAACCCCCCTCTAGGTAGGTTATACCTAAGTATACATACGTCAAATTAAAATGTCGTTAAAAATGAAAATTTAAAAATCTGATTTAATCTACGGTCTCATATAATTTAATAAGGTGACATCGTACATATGGTTTTATTTACTGGAGAACAGATTGTTATATTTCTTATTCAATAGGAAAAAGAAAATGTTTGGTTGACGTCAACGATTCGGTGGAAAATCGCTGCGGTATACCTCTGTTCGTTATTGCAGTTTATTTATATTATTCTCTCGAGGGACGCCATATTGTACTGTAATGGCTGTTCGCGTGTATTATAATGATAAGATGGGTTTGTTCGGGCCAATTGCAGACGTCAAATAAAAAAATACATCGAATCGAATGGTATAATTTATCGAAAATAAGTGATCGTCGTCGAACTACAATGATGTCCAGTTTTGCGCGTTGCCCATATAGATAAAATAAAATCCAAAGACTCTGATGTGTATACGATAATGACTGAGTTTCTTTTATAATAATATCTGTTTCAGACGTCACAAAATAACAGTAATAATGTTGTGTTGTATATATATTATTTTGATGTGTTCCACAAATCCGGTACATTTTTAGTAAATCATCGTATTTGTACGCTCCTCGTAAATAATACTGTACGAATATATCGTTCATGGGCCAACCCTTGTTATTATGAAAGGGAAAAGTTAAGAATTTATGATATATTTTTTATATAGCTTAATTTAATACAACTTATATAAAGATAAATTATTTCTATAAAATAGATCGAGGCCGAAAAATATTAAATATGGGTAAATTCCCTATTATATAGCGTATTACAACACTAACAATGATTAAAGTGAAATTTCTTGGAGAGTTATTATCGAATTTCGGAGTCAACTCAGGATTACGACAGTGAGATGCCTTCTCCCCAACCCTATATAAGCTAGGCCTGGAAAAATTTGTAAGGAAAATAGGTCACATGCAACGGGTAGATTTGATTGGAAATTAGTCATTTTTAGCTTATAAGGATGACAAAGTCAATTTTTGAAATACCTAAAACATAGCAGTGCAATATTTTCTGTGAAATCACAACAAAAATAAATGTTGTTCACAAGAGTATAGGAATTATCTCTCTGTGAAATGTTTGTTTTTATTTTTTTTTAATTATGAAATTATTATACAAATCGTATTATATTATTTTACACGGAGCTGCACTCAACACTAATTAAACCTTTACTCTACAATGGCGCACTTTGTAATTAAAATAGAATTTTAACGACAAAACAAAGTTTATAGATGATGAATGAGAATATCCGAACATAGGTAGTAACTTTATAAGTAAGCATATAATAAAAGTTACAAATCACAGTGTTAATTTTTATAAGATATTATACTCGAAAGACAATTAAAACGATAAAAACTCATCTTGGTTATTGAAAATACCATAGGTACTAGCGATGTGACATAAATCAAAATAGTTTAAGAATCCAGATTTTGGAATTCAGAAAAACAATTCTGAATTTCGGATTTAAAAAACCGGAATTTATTTTGATTTCAACATTTATAATATTATGATTAGTTTTTGATTCGTATAAAAAAGGCCGAAAAAATATAAAATTAAAGTTCCAAAATCTGATTTAAATCAATTTTCCGATTTAAAATTTGAAAAATCAGGATTATCGAAATTTAAAAATTCAGATTTTTTATCACTTGTAATGGATGTAAATTTAATGAAATCACGTGGAACTCAAAATAAGTAATAAAAAGAGTAAAATTGATTTTTTAATACCATGTGAGATATTGTTTTGATCATCAGTTGTAGGATATTATCTTATAAAATACAATTTTGTCTTACTACCAAACGGTACATCAAAGGAGGTAGTTTTATGAATTTATTGTAGTTTTTATAAAAATTAAGATAAACCGTGAAAAAACGAGTACATTTTTTTTCAGCATTTTTTTATTAAAAATTATCGTAGAGACCTAAAACTTGCGCAAAATACTTAGTTATACTATAATATCAGTCAATTAGTCAGACGTGAGGTTAATGTTCAAAATATTTTGACTTTAAAAGTAACGGGAAAGGATGAACATATATAAAATATATATGAATATATACATTATTTAATGTATATCTATTAAATAGGTACATGACACTAGATATCATTTGTTTTCAGACACTATCAGATGGTGATGACTGGAATTTCTTAGATGTACAGAAAAGTTATTAATTGACGAAAAAATAAAAAAAAAAAGTTGTACGCACAATTACATATATAGGATTTTCATAATTTTACATAATACTCTAATAAATACGAATGTAGGGATAACTGGACAATGAGGAGAGGTTGGAAAATAAAAAAAAATGATGTCGTGAGTATTAAAATAAAAGGCCTGTTGCTCTGCTCTGAACGAATGGACCTAGAGTGGATGAGAACCCTATCCCGGAATAATATTATTATTAATTTCTCCCAACAACGACGACATCCCGGTGACAGCATATTTTATTATTGTTTTTTTCTTTTAATAAAATCACTATAGCGTCTGTTTTCGAGAGCGGGAAATTCTGAAAGGAGTTGGTTATACCTAAACGACGTCTATCCGTTTATAAAACGTTTCTCATTTCCGTGGTCCTATTTTTCCCGCTCGACCGTCTTTCCGCATTCTTTCCGAACGGACTTCCGTTATGATGTTACGAAGACGATGGTGGCATTAGTTCTATCGTTTTCAAAGTTTATCCAGTAATCCAGGGAGGTTTATTACAATATTATGCTTGCAATTTCTACCCGGTCTTTATTCCCAAATGTGGACATTAACAAATAACAAGTTAAAAAGTTATTTTTATAAACTTTTTAAATTAAATAGTTAGTTATTTTTATTAAGTAAAATAATTAACTTAACTGGTTTTTATTTTCATCATATAAAATTAACCTAGGAATTGCAGTTTATTTTCATAAAAATTCAGTGAAATTAACGAGTTAAAGGTTGATGATATTTGTTTAAATACAAAATTCAATTTGGATTGCTTATTCTCAGTACTGTGATCTATATATAACTCATATTATTCGAAGCATCGGATTTTCGATTTTTTGATAAGCAAAGTATTATTCTGATCATAATATGAAGCGTTTTTTAGATTTAGAATAAACGATGAAAACACGAGAAAAAATTGTTTTCATTTTTATAATGGTTATTGCCCAGAATAGATGGTTATCGTAACACATTTTTCAAGTCTAGAGTATTTATGACGTGCAGTAATACTTAAAACATATATTTTCACTGATATGCCTGCTTATTGTTTAGTGTCCAAACTTTGGCCAACGTATTTACAATGATACTATCGAAATTTTGCATTTATTTCATAATTAACATTGTATATATATATATGTAGTTTAAAATATCAATACATAAAGATATAAATTATTGCTAGAATAAATATCTAGACATAGATAAAATATACACAATAATTTAAGTATTTATGCAACGATAAATAATTAGGAGTTTATTATCTTAAACCAAAAAAAAAAAAAAATAAAATTGTATTAATCTATTTTCATAAAATTAAGTGTCAAAAATATTAAAAGTATATCAGATTTGATAGATATCCACATTTCACAAAGGTTCTGTGATTCATGTAATTTAATAGTTACTTAATGAATTAAACCATATTATTTTTAATAACTGTTTGTATAAATAACGATTTAAAATGATTTATCTAGAAGATTATTTATTTTAGATAACGGTTCAGATAACTTACTTCCAATTTATCTATATAAGAGAAAATATACAGATATGCCTATCTAGATAAAATACAACAGTGTTCATATTATTATGTACTTATCATATACATAAAGGAAAACGTGTGTGACTTACGAGAATACACTTGAATTGAATCGGTTGATTTTTAATTTTTAATTTTGAAAGTTTTTTGAAATTATGTTTTCAAATGACCGAAAAAAAAATGGATACTGAATTGACACGTGCGATGCCAGACGGAAGGTGAGACAGTTATATTATAATGGTATTGAATTAAAAACGAAAGTAAATGTTTAAACGCAGAGATTATCCGTGTTAGAAATAAATACGTTATTCCGGGATAAACGTCATACATTTATACATATATACATATATATTTTGACTTTAACCGCGTTTAAAAGACGTATTTTTTATTCGCTTGATGATTCAATACGAAATGAAAAAAAAAGTCTCGTGACTGCTACGGCGTACCTACATGGCGACTCAAAAAATAAAAGATATCGCGCGTCTACGTGTTATTGTAATGTGTGCTGTTTGTAGACTCGATGAAACACTTCAGGAGGTCCCCGAAAGACAGTATATTATTATGTGTTCCTTGTTATATTATTCTATTCCGAAGAGATTTCTCTTATTATAATATTATAGTACATATATATTATTTTCTTCGGGCGTATTTTCGGCCCGTGACGATAAATCACAAGCGCGAAACTTTCGTCCGGGCACGAAACGGATAATTTCGGCCATAAGCCGTATTATAATCGTCGTCGGGGGCGTGATCAACGTCTGCGGATTTATTTGTACGATAAAATCGCGAATCACCCTGACTTACGATAATATATTTTTTCACGTTAATTTATATTATGGTGTAGGTAGGTTGGTAATGCGGTAAATGGATAAATGGAGGTCCCAATGTCCGCGTATAATATATTGTTGCTAAGTTTCGTATACTTCTATAGAATTTTAGGTACTTTTGAAAAAGAAACATTCGGATTTTATTACGTTATAATATGGCGAAATTTTCGTGACATTTCGTATTATGTTATAATTATAAACCCAGGTTCATTATGGTTTATCATGTCAATGTATAAAATATCTAATTACAATCATCTAAAAGAAAATAATTAGAAAACATAGATGTAATTACCTTTTATCTTGTATCAAGATGATAAAACTAAAATATCTTATCTTCATTATATTATATTATCTTTCCAATTAATTTAATAAATAGACATAACAAGTATATTATTATAATTAATATATACCTCAAAAACGTTTAGGTGACTGCAATGGTAATTCACAAATATTTCATAGTATTATACTATTTTTTATTATATAAAATTGATTTTTCACATTCAAAAATGCATTTAAACTTCCAAATACTTAAACATAGATAGCTAATTAAAATATATCTTTTATCTTTCCTAAGACTGCATACCTATTACCTACGTTTTACCATCCATGTGTTATTCAGGCCGGAGATATGTTTAGAATCCATCATTTTCTTTGCAAATCATTTGCACTCACTCTACTACTCTGCTTTAGTCAGAAATTATTACATCAAATCGAATACCATCGAGGTAAAATAACATTTTGTTCACCGCTATAATATCAGAGCGAACGTTTCAGCTATTCGGTGAATCCAATTAATTTGTGTTTTTCTTATTATCGGAAACGTCTAACCATCTAATTACTTTCAAGTGTCTATTATAATACGTCACTAACGATAGTCACTGTTCGGGCAGTGGCGTTTTTGTGACCTGACATAACAGAAAAAATTATTATTTTCGAGTAAATAGGCGACATCGTCGAGGTGAGAAGTAAACAAGGTGCACGCTTTGACCAGATTGACGAATACTGGTGAGTGTTGAAAAGTTTTCGACCGAAAATAAATCAAAAGCAAGTTACACGGTTGTAATTATTCTAACGTCCGTTATTGTACCTTGAGAGTTAATCAGCTGAGTGGACGTTTTCAGACCCGGTCGTTGTTTAATAGTCCAGATGAGAATGTGAATAATATAAGTTATAAAATACCTTATTCATGTGAGAATTGTATCTCTGAGAAAATGATTTCAATTACCAAATCTATATTAATCTGTATTGCGCTAGCTCAGTCATGGCGTGAACTTTTTTGTCGATAGGATATGATAATTGTATAGTTGTATTGTTGGCCCAAATAATCAAGTAGGCATTATTTTAATTACACAGACCAGTGATGAGAAGCTTCTTTCTCCTCCCAATATAATTTTGCACCAAATTTATTCTTCTAAAAATTATTATTCTTAGTTCGATAAAAATAATTTGTATTACTATTATATAAACACTGTCTTAATATTTTACTTTAAGTCGACATAGTTAATTAATCTAGTGCCAGTCATTTGGGAACCTATACTTTATGTTTATGGTCATTGAAATATTAAATTGTTCGACGTGATCATTCTTGAAAAACGAATATATTTTTAAACCAATAAGATTTTTCAAAAACCTACATAACAGAACTAGATTTAAAATGATAAAATACAAACATAATATGCCTGTTTTTTAAGTTTATCAAAAACCTCTATCTGAAAAATGTTGTTTGTCAAACCATAGAATACAAAATATCCTAATTTAATTTTTAATTTTTTAATCTATGGAATCAATTTTTCCTCATTATTTCGAATATTAATTTTATTAAATATTATTTCGAATTAAAAAAAAAATTACCTTTTTAAAGTACCAACTAGAGCCCAAATTTAATTATAAAGAAGGTTCCTTATCATGTTTTGATTGGAGCAAGATTTCAAGGAGAACATTTGTTCACAGGCAGGAAAAAAGTATTCACTCAAAATCTAAAATTCGAAAATAAATTATTGCTTCCTCGTTTGATATAGTAAAGTTTTCGAGAAATATTACACATTGTTTTTATATGTAATGATTTAATACATTTAAACGTCTTCATAACATGTTAATTTCCGGACTAGACTAAATTATTATTTTCCGATGACCAATCGCTTCAATATTATTTTGTAGGACTGTTAATATACTTTACAATATTATATTAGGTATAAAATCCACTGAAATCCAACGAGTATAAAATATTAATATTTCGTAATTAATAATAATAATCAACGACGGAGAAAAATGAAATTCAAATTTTACTACACGTAACACTACTTACCTAATTAATAATTTTTTAACTTTTATTAAATTACCAGTTTAACAAAGACATTTTTTCTGGGCAAAATTTAATTTTTAATATAATAAAAATACGCTCAACCGAAACCTTTTTTTTAGGTCAATATTGCGCAAATTTAAATTGATTTACTGTAGGCAAGTACTCTAGAAATTATTTAAAAAAAATATATATGACCCTTTCAAAAAATCCCCGTTGGGATCACTGATTTAGACAAACGATAGTATGCTATTATCCAGATTATCTTGTACATGATTTAATTACAACAATTCGAATTGATAATACCGATAAAGGTATGTATCGTTCCCAGTTATCTACTCAAGTTGGTAAAGTTCTACTTCGGGCCATATAATACGGCAATCATAAATAGTGTTATGCACGTGAATTACTAGTGCTAGTTGTAACTTGTCCCAGTTTAAATGTATATAATAGGATTAAACCATGATTTTTCGTGTTTGTAATAAATTAAAAACATTTGTATGATAATTAATCAAAACGTAAATTGTTAACATGGATATTTACTATAGATAACCTTGATTGTAAATCAACGATTCATCGTATATAACCGTGAATTCGTTTAAAACAAGATAGTGAACGAGCAGTTGTAGTTAGATAGAATAAAATTTGCGACGAATGAAATTTATCGAGATTTTAATTTTGTTAGTTTTTTCGCTGCAGATTCTATGTAGGTATTTTTACATGGACATTAAACGTAGATATATACATAGCACAGTAGAATTTACAGTTTTTTGTTAGTTAGTTTGTTTTTTTTTTTTCATTAGGCAAGTATGTATGTTTTATTACGAGCACTTGTGAGAGAGTACACGATCACAGATAACTGAACATGTTCACGCAAAAAATGGTTCGTTAGCGGCAGCAGTTTTCAAACGATTTCCATTGGCAGGGTTATGGAAGAAAAACCAATTCGTTTCAAAATAGTAAAAGTTTGCGCATTTTCCGTTTTACGACTAAGCGAGTATTATACAGAATGATATTTTAAGCATATTTAATCCATTTGAATGGTTTAATTTCTATTTGTGTATTCAAATTTTTATTTTTGAAATTATTTAAATGAAGCCTGTGGGCTCCAAATTGCAAGTTAAATTTTAAGGTACAAATAATAATTTTAACTTGAAAGCCCAAATAATAATAACTATTATTTCAGCAGAATATTTAGAACATTACATTTTTTTTACACACTATACTTATATTTTAGTAAAATAATTGTGCTTTTTAAAAATAAGACAATTTATTTTTGTTTTAAATTTATTAATAATATGATTTTTTTAAATTATAGGATCTGTATTTTTGCACATTTAGGTTGCGTTCATTTTAGTACTATATTTAATTTCTGGACTATTCTTAGAGCCATAAACGAGCATGGTTAAAAAATCACCCTGTTTTTCACGATCTTAAGTCTGAAATCAGTATTCGTATCTCTAATATGTAATCACAATAATATTTTCTTAAAACAAAAAATACAAAGCGCACACACAGTTTTATAATAGTACATACAAATAATAAATACAGTATGTATATAATAAAAATCGTAAAAAGTTATTTAAAAAAATTATATGGAATAATCATATAATATGTTGCTAAAATATTTGCTGACATTTTCAAATCTAAATTACCACATCCGATACTGTTGCTGAATAAAATTTTGAAAGTGGAAAGTCATGATTTAAACGGTACACAATTACGAGTGAGTAAATCAACTTTCAAAGACAGAACAAAATGGTCAAGAACAATAATATTATATAATAAAATAAGATTTTCACCCATGGATATCAATATTTATTTTTCATCATAATCAGTACTATGATTTTTATTCATTTGGAGTGTCATTATAAAAGCTTAAAATGGTGTAAAAAAAATAACAAAACATAACATAGCGAAAATCAATATTTAACTTCTTTTTTCTTTTTTCCCAGATGTCGAAATTCAATTTTAACGAGACACTGAGACACGTTGTTTTGTTTAGAACCCCTAAAAATCACTATGTAAGCAAATATTGATGTCGGGGTAATTGGTTTTTGTTTATTTTTATATTCCGTCATTATTAGCACGATTTCCATCTGGATCAAGTAATTTTTATACGAGATGAATAGAAAATAACGTGAAATTCGTATGTGAAGTCTGAGGATAAAATGGAATTTCGAAATCCTTCTTGTCGTCAAATCTTCAGCTGTCCGTCTGAAAGTTCGAAATCACAGATCTCTTTATCCCATACACATATTCGATTGTACATGGATATAATAATATTTACTTATAATATATACTTTACGGTTTCCGTGAGATATGCACTTCAATTTTGACTGACAAACCATTAAAAACTACTATAAAGTAAAGAAGTGAAAGCTTTCAAACCAATAATAATATACTTACACGGCAGAATCTGCAGTGTCTGCAAAAGATCGACCAAAGGAGGAGCATGATTTAAAAAATATATTAATACATCTCCAAAATATCGAGGGGGATTTCTTATAGAATAACGACTGAACAAAGTTGGATTTCTTCAAACACCTATTATAACTTCTAGAAAATCATTTTCTGGATAATGGAAACACTCAAGTATAAATAGGTATAGTGTCAGTGTCGAGTACCATATTTTTGTTTTTATCGGCAATGAAAACGGTATTTTATTTGTTTACACTTGGGCAAAATACAAAAATAGGTCGATGGACGCAAAAATAATAGAATTATTATTATCTTCAAAATATGATGTATTTTTGGATAGTGCTTATAACACGAAAAACGACGTGGGCAAAATAAAGGAATAATATATAATAACAATACGTTACAATGACGTATTTAAAATATATCTATATAGAGTAGTAACAGAACATAGCCACATAAATAAAGCGAACGAGGCAAGCGTTGAAAAGGTAAAAATTGAACATACCAAACTTGGAAAATTAAAATTTGGAAAGGAAAAGTTTAGAAAATTAAAAGTCAGAAAAACTAAGGAACGTAAAATGTTTCATTTGAAAAATTTTGATTTTCTGAGTTTTGCTAGCTATGCATGCTTAGGATGACTGCACAAGCGAAATTTGTCTATTGTGATAATTTAGTGATTATTTATATGAATCGAATGTGATACTGTTTTAGTTGCGAAATATACAAAATTAGCTCGATTAAGCAAAGTAACTAGAGACATTCAATATGCGCCGTTTCCGGTGTACAATAAAAATCCCACAAAAACATTATAAACGGTGAGGTTTTACACAGAATAGAAGTAAAACAGACTTCCTAAGATAATGGGTACGGGTGCAGCCACTATTATAGATAATTTAATACATACCTGTAAGCAACGGTAAACCATTGCTTACAAAAAAACGATTCTGAGTGAAGTTCATTTGATGGTGATAACTGGTCAAAAATATATATGTCATTTTATAATTAAACAATTAAATATACTTTCTATATTTTCTTTAATAGTATTTGTTTAATGTTGTACCGATTTCCTCAGTTTTTTTTATATTTTTCCCGGTTTTCCCATGTTTTATCCCATGTTTTTAAATTTCATGAGAAAACCTTGAGAAAACCGAAAAACTACGATGAAGTGCCTCTCCATACTGATTTCTGTTCAAAAAAGCTACTTAAACGGATTTAAAAATCCGAGCAAGTATTCTGATAGAAAATTTGTAATAGATAAAAAAAGAAAAAATAAACATCTTTATTAAACCATAAGCTTCTTCACTCCACTCAGAATCTATAATCGCTATTATTTGGAACCGATATAAATTCTGAAGAAATATGACATTATATAATATTTTGTAGTAAGTATAGTATCTTTTCGGAAATTTTGAAATTTTATAAATTTTAGTGATAACTCTTTTGCGTGAGTGGGATATTAGAATATTATTGTACGTATTTTTTTTTTCTTTTTTTTTTTTTAATCAAATTGGGTAATATGCCCAAAATTATTAGAAAATTCGCGTCAACGCGAAAGTTGTATCTTTTCTTAAGGTTTTTTCTAAAAAAAGTTTTTGTTTGTATAATATAATACGTCGTCGTTATTTATTGTTATTTTTTTTACGTTTTTATATTGTTAAAGCTGCTAGTGAACAAAAATCCGATACGTCCTCCACGAAGAACTTTTGCGAAAGTATAATAATATAATAGCAGTATTATTTGACGATATAAGATTAGGTTTCATTTTGCTAAGTAATCATCATCGTCGTCGTCAAATCGTTGTTCTCGACAAAAGTCTATATTTCTTTTTTTTGTCCTCTTAGTCACATAATAAGATCGTAAGTATATAAAGTTACTTTGACGGTGGAATTCCGTTCCCCAGCGTTTATAAAATGCCAACATCGGTATTTTATTGTATCTAGTTCCCCCAAAAAATCTAGTCTAAAAATTGTGAAACACACGTTTCGTCCGATCTCTTTTGATTTTAAAAACCAGCCGAGGAATGTAACTATTTTTACTATAAGTTCTGGGATTTGTATAACAAATCGTTTTTTATTTCTCTTCATAAACAATTTTTACCACAATTTATGAAAATATTATAAATATTTTGTTTAAAAGTGTAAAAACTTTAAACGTTTTGATTAGAAGATTATTTTTTCCAGCGCTAGATAAGGAACGAATTAGCCCACTGAGTTTTAGGGTGGGTTGCATTAAGATCATTCTGTAACTTTTCTAACGAACCTGTAATGAACCAAGCTTGTAAAGTTTTAATGGCGTGTAAAAAAAAAAAAACCTGAGTTGCATAAAAAAAATTTGTATGTTATTGATAACCGTGGTTAACAAATAAATTATACCACATTTTATTTGATTACCGTGATTACTGATTAAGTATCAATTAAAAATAAAATAAATTATAAATAAATATTTGAAAAAAATTCAAACCACAATTTATATTATAACATATATTTGGTCTTTGATGATAACTCCAAAAAAGGTAAGGCAGAAAAATTTTTTTGAACGAGTAAAAGTGACATCAATGAAATTAATAATTCCACATAAAGACATAATTGAAAATATTTAGGTATTTGTTTGACAGGTTGACTTAATTATAAATTACAATATGCTAAGCAAGGTAAATATTATTATACATTTTAGACTGTTTTTTTTTTTCATTAACAAATTGAAAGAAACAACCAAGCTGTACAATAGTAATGAACCAGAAACTGGAAATAGAATAGTTTTAGAAAGAAATTATGATTCTTATCACGATATATTAATATTTTGTAAACGTTACAGAAACAAAATTGAATTTGTAAGTACAGGTCCAGTAGCCAATAAGTTTCAGACTTGTTGACGCCAACAAGCGTTCAAGCAACACCCGATTTTTTAATGGGCCAATAGTGAGTTAAAAGTTCTGTAAATCGCTAATGATTGTTTATGCAAACCAACTTTACACTTTTAACTATCTGAAAATTAAACAAAATAAAAAACCTGATTTAAATTTAATAAAAAAACATGAGAAATTTTGTTAGGGCTACCGATAACTCACTGATTCAATCTGAGCCCACTTCATTCGTAGATAATCCTAATGAGTCTTGCGTGTAAAATAAAAGGCGATACAACAATATTTCCTGTATTTTATTTGGTTTTTTAACAAAACACAAACTACACGGTGACATTGGTCATGTCGACCCTTGGTTATGGAATTGCATGTTCGCAACTAGAAAACGTACAATCTTTAAACAATTTTGCGGGAAACTTTCCGTTGGTAAATGTATTATTTCCAATAAAAGGAACTGAACGTTTCGACAACAAATATCATCGTGTTGCGATCTTGCAAGCAAAACGGTCGACCA